CCATAAGGTAAGCCTTCGGCTGCCGAGCGAAATACTGAGCCTGTATTCTGGTTGCGTCACGGATTGCGCCCTGGGCGGCCGACAATACAACGGCATGCCATGGGCTGCGCCAAAGGCTGCGCCCCCTGCCTCCGAAAATACAACGGGCTGCTCAGATCGGCGGCGAGCGAGGGGGGGAAATGAGAAGGAGAAGCCCTCCTCAGAAGGCGGCGGGACTTCTCAGAAGCCCTCGTGCCTTCTGAGAGGTTCTTACTGTCTTCTGGGAAGGCTCAGAAAACTTCTCAGAAGTCCGGGGGACTTCCGAGCCTTCTGAGAAGGCCCGCCCCTTCTCACTTCCCCCCCTCGCTCGCCGCCGATCAGAGGTGCGACCAGTCAGTCAATGCACCTCGGCAAGTTCCGTACACGACCGAACGCAGGAACCAGCATCAAGAATAACCAAGCGGCATCGAGCGGGTAATCTAGCAAGCCTGCAAGAAATCAGGCAAGCTGGTCAGCATGCAAGCAGACGGGCAAGACCTTGGTCAGGCCAGCAGGCTAGCAGCCCTGCGCGCGCGGCAACACGCACGCAGTGAAGCAGGCAAGCGATTTCCACACCGGCATGCGAGGAATCTTACGTCAAAGTCTGAGAGCGGCACAGCCCGAGCTCTCTCCATATCGCCGGGCGCAGTGCGTGCGACAAGTGCGCAATATTCAGATCGGCCCCAACGCGCCCCCTGGCCCCCCAAACACGCGCCCTGACTGCCCAGTGGAACCCTCGGAGTGCCCCGTGCTGCCCAAGAGGGCATCTAGGAGGCACCCGCGACGGTCTACGGACCAAGAATCCCCAAGACGACACCAGTGGGCTCTAAGATGATTTCGCACAGACCCCGCGAGGCACATATCGTTCAAGTCCCCATGACTTTCGAGCTGTTTGGGCGCTCCATTTTTTCGTTCCAGATGGCTCTCAGATGGGTATCAGAGGCTTCCAAGATGGCGGCTTGAGAGGCCGGAACGCCCAAGAAGGCCCAAGACGCCCCCGCGACAGCCCAGGCTGGCCTCCAATATGGATGGCCACACGACGGCTCCCAGGCGGCCCAAAGCCACCATACGGTGGCCCCAAAGCCCTTGCAGATGGCCCCAGGACCTCCAAAAGGGCACCGCAAGGCCCCGAGGTACCCCAAGGTGACCCTAGGATGATCCGAAAAGGGCGGCCTAGAGATCCCAAGACCGGTCCGAGATAGCCCAAAGAGGGCGCCAAGAGGGCATCAAGACAGGACGAGCCAGCGACCTTGGCAAGCAAGCAGTAGAGCCGACAGCCGCAGAGCTAGCAGTAGGCAAGAGAGGCAAGCGCCAGCAGCCAGCAGCATCAAGCCCAACCATGCACCAGTGCGGCCCTAAATGGGCCCTGAGAGGGTACCACTACAGCACGATCCAGCAACCGCAGCAAGCAAGCACGCAAGCAAGCAAGCAAGCAAGCAAGCAGAGCCAGCAGCAGCATTACAGCAGCCCTGATAGGCAATGACCAGCAATAAGCAGTTGCAAGTATAACCAACAAGCCGTAGTAATCAAGATCAGCATACTTCTGAAGCAGTAAGCAGCAGCAAGCAGCAGCAAGCAGCAACAAGCAACAGCAAGCAGCATCGGCGAGCAACATCAGCAAGCAGCAGCAACCAGAAGCAAGTAGCAGGTGGGAGCGGCCCAACGCGGCGAGTCGCAGAGAGTAGCTGGCAGTAGCAGCAAGCATCGGCAAGAAGGAGCAAGAGAGGATGGTGCTGCCCACCGTGGATTCAGCCCACGTGCTGCGCACCGGTCTCTCCCACATGGCCGGGAGCAGTGCGTGCCAGACGGGCGCGGGCCCCAAACGCACCACACTCGTCCAGGCCAGCCCTGGCGGGCACCCCGGGCGCGCTCATGGCCCACCCCCAGCGAGCCCCGGCGGGCCCAAGACAGCTCCATGGGGGCCCGTGATGGCTCCAAGACGGCCGAGGACAGCCCCGAGAGGGCTCCAACAGGCTCAGGATGGCCCCAAGACGGCCCCAGAGAGCTCCAAGAGGCGCCCCAAGAGGGCGCCGAGAGGCCAAAACCAGTGATCATCCCAAGGTGCTTTTTGCAGATTTTGACATTCTCGCCTTTCTGGATCCCGATGCTCCACGACGGCCCAAGAGGCGCCCAAACTCGTCCTAACCAGGCCCCAGACCTACGGCCCAAGATGGCCGGAGACACCTCCAGACGGCCCAAGAGGTCACCAACATGGCTCCCAGACGGTCCAACAGGGACCCAACACGGCTCAGGAGGGCTCCGTGAGGCGTCCCAAGAGATGGCGCCGAGAATTCCTAATCAATGGTTCTCCGAAGAATGTATACTAATTTTCACGTTCTCGCTGTTCCAGGTTTCCCAGGTTTCTAGACGGTCCAGGAGGCTCCCAAGATCATCCCAACATGGCACCACAGACTTCAAGAGGGACTCCATACGGTCCACGATGGGCCCAAGACCGCTCAAGCAGCCTCCACGGCGAGACCCAGCGGGCTCCGAGATATACCCAGATGGCCCGCGACGTCTCTAAACGGCCCAAGGGGTCGCCAGTGTTAGCCTCCAGACGGCCCAACAGAGCCCCAACGCAGCCCGGGAGGGCCCCAAGAGGAGCCCCAAGAGAGGGCGCCGAGAAGCCAAAAACAATGATGTTCCCCTGATTTTACGCTCGTTCAGACATTCTCGCTTTTACGGGCACACCATGCACCTAGACGGGACAAGAGGCTCTGAAGATCGCCCCAACACGGCCTTACAGGCCTCCCAGAGCCCCCAGACAGCCCAAGAGGGCCCCAAGACCGCCCACGCGGCCCACGGGAGCGCCCAAGAGGGCCGCAGGAAGGGGAAGTCCGACGTGACGCTCCGCGCCCGCCGTCCCAACATGACCCTCGAGGCCGCCAGTCGGCCGTCCAAGAGGCCCCCCAGACAGCCAGCAGGCCCCGAAGAGGCTCCCCACAGGCCCTCCCAGAGACCCCAAGCGGCCCCAAAAAGGCCCAAGCCGGGCCCCAAGAGGACCCGCGAGCCTTTTCGAAGAGCTTCCGTGGACGGAGTCCACGGGTTAGCCCCACGTTGTCTTTCTGCAGTGCGGGAACCTCTGCGTGCGAGAAAGTGCTGTGCATCAGTGGCTTCTTCTGCCCCTCCGAGATGCCCAGGGAGGCCGAAAAGAGCTGCTGGGACAGCTTGGACAGTCCTGCGGGCCTAGGGCCGCGCCCCTTCATACGGCCAAAGAGAGCCCACAGACGACCGACGAGGCGTCCAAGACGGCCCCAAGACGGCCTCAGTTAGGTAGACAACGGCCCACGAGGCCCTCCAGACGCTCCAAGCGTGGTCCAACAGGGCTCCCCACACAGCCCCCAATGGCAAGCATCGTTTCTATTCGTTCGGAAAGCTTACGTTCATGCCATATTCGTGTTTTCTGTCTCTGTATCATTCCAGCAGGGCATCGAGGACCCGACAGTTTTTCAAGACAGCCTGCGAGGCTTGCATGAGAGCATCTAGACGGCACAAGAAGCGCCCAAGACGGCCCAACATGATTCCACCAAGGCTCCATGAGCGGCGCAGGACGGCCCACGACGACCCCCAAACGTCACCCGAGGGGCCCCAGAAAGCCTCAGTCGGTTTGCTTCAAAGACGGCCTGAGTAGCGCCCAAGGCGACGCATGAGGGCACACAGAAGCCCAAGCGAGGCCCTGAGATGCCCCCACGCAGCTTCCAAAACAGCCCCAAAAGGCCAACATACCATCGTCCCAATCCCTTTTGGAAAGCGTAGATATTTTGCATCTTTGTGTGTTGTCCGCTTCTGCAGTGTTCCAGCAGGCCCTCCAGGACTCCGACATTCCCCCAAGACAGCCTCAGAGGCCTCCAGGAGAGCCCCTGGACGGTCCGAGACGGCCCCGGGACGGCCCAAGGGGCGCCCAAGACGGCCCAAGAGGGCCCCAGGATGGGGATCTCGAGCTGACATGTCGCGCCCTCCGCTCCAAGGTGACCGACCCCCGAGACCGCCAGCACGCCCCCAAGAGGCCCGCCCAGCAGCCCCAGGAGGCATCCGATACGACCAAATCAAGCCCCAGAACCTTAAAAAGATTGCCCCCAAAAGGCCTCGAGACACACCGAACGCCGCTTCGAAGAGGCTTCCGAGGGAAGATCCCCCAGAGAGCTTTGTGGCCCTCGCTGGCCACCCACGAGAGGCCCATGAGCGACCCCAGAGGAGACCAGCTGTTCGGCCACACACGCGCCAAGGCCATTGAGACGTGCGTGTGCTGGCCTCGGCTCATGCCATCTTTCTCGCTCCACGCTCCTCGCTCCCCGCGCTCTCTCTCTCTCTCTCTCTTTCTCTCTCTCTCTCTCTCTCTCTCTCTCTCTCCTCGCCCAACACCCCCCTCTCCTCGCTCCTGGCTCGTCCCTTCGCACTTCTTATGGCTCTTGTCACCTCTCTCCTGGCCCCTCGCTTCTCCCTCCTGGCTACCGGCGTCTGCCCTCATCCCTCCTCGCCTCTCTCTCTCTCTCTCTCTCTCTCTCCTGGGCCGTCGCTCCTCCCTTCTCGCTCCGTGCTGCTCGCTGAGTACTCCTCGCTTCCCCCACCTCCCTTCTCGACACTAACTCCTTGCTCCTCGCTCCTCGCTCCTCGCTCCACTCACGAGCTGCAGGTTGCATCCTCTAGCAAGGGCGCCAAGCAGCAGCACTCTGTAGCCTCTAGCAGCAGCAGCAGCAGCAGCAGCAGCTAACACCAGCAGTCCGCGGCAGGCAACGGCAGCACAGCAAAAATAAAGGCAGCAAAGGCATGCCGCAGGCAGAAGCAGTCTGCAGCTACAGGCAGCAAAAGCAGAGGCGAAGTTCGGGCCCATGGATATCACGAAAGCCTTTCGGCAGCATTTCAGCCCTGGTCCAACGTGCCATCTCGGAACGATTGCGTGGTCGGTAGGCCACGGGTCAGCCCTAGTCACCTTCAATGCCGGGATCAGCGCTTGCGAGAAGGGTTGGCAGTGGCAGCAAGCTATGTCGCTGCTGAGCGAGATGTGGGAGGCGAAATTGGAGCCCGCTGTGATCTTGTCCATTCTTGTCCAAATTGCGTGGAGACGCACATGCGAGCAAAGTGCTCCGATAATCGCCATCGCCCCCGCATGCAGCGGGCAGCAGCGGCAGCCTGCAGCAGCACACAGGGACCATATTTCCGTTGCATTCAGCAACACCTTGCAGCCTCAAGCAGCAGCAGCAGCAGCACGCGGCAGCGGCAAGCATTGGTAGCAGCCGGCATCATCAGCAGCAACCAGCAGCTCGCTGCAGCAGACACACCAGCCAGCCCCAAGTGCAGCACGCAGCAGCCGCAAGCCGCATCCAGCAAGTGTACGGACAAGTAAGCACAAGCCCGTAGCGACGAGAAGCAGCAAGGAATGGTAGTTAGCGGCAAGGAGTGATACACGTCAGCAAGCGACAGGAAGCGACGGCGAGCGGACAGCAATCAAACCCAAAGCTGCCAGGCCACCAGGCTTGGAACCATGCAGGCAGGACAGCAGGCAAGTAGTCAAGCCGGCAAGCAAAGCATGCGAGTAGGCGCTCGTGGACGGATCCGAAGGGCGCTTCGGCAGGGAAGCCGCCCTTTGGCTGTGGGAAAGGTGCTGGCGGCTCAAAAGCCAGCGGGATTCGAGCAGTTCAGCACTCTCGTGCTTCAAGTTGCCGAGGCAGAGCAAACTTGTGAGGGGTGTCCTTTCTTACCTCTTCGGCTTCTCGTTCCGCACGGGAGCCCATCTTAGGCCGCGATTGCTGCACCAGGCCACGACTAGCCTGTCTCGTTGTGCAATGTAGAGGACAGGTCGCCCCTGTTCAGTTTCTTTTCATGCGTTCGTGAACGGCTTAATTTGCTTTTTTGTGGCGGCGGGCATCGCGTGCAGGAAATGGCGGCGATCAAATGGGCACAAATCGGCCCGGCCAGCTCCGGCTCGCCACCGAGGCGCTCCAAGACGGCCCAAGAAGGCCCCAATAATTCTCCTGGACATTTTCAGAGCGGCGCTAGAGGTCTCCAAGACGGCCCCAGACAGCTCCAACACAGCCCTAGAATCCATCAAGGGGGCCCAAGACGGTCCGAGAAGCCCGGGTTTCGAACCCCCCCATTCTGACGTGACGGAGGGGGGAGTGGCGGGTTTCGACCCCCCCAAACAAGCCTCCAGACGCTTCCAAGAGTACTCGCTGTTTCGGGCGCCGCGGGTCGCCGCATGCGAGCCAAAGGAACCCAAATTGTGGCCCCAAGAAGGCCCCAAGAGACCCCCAAGAGGCCCCCCCCGAGAGACATCCCGAGAGGCCTCCCCTCATGAAGCCCTCTCGCCGCCTTCCTCCTCGGCTCTCCCTCCTTCTTCCTCGCCCATCTCTCCTCGGGCGTCGCTCCTTCCCTCTTGCTCCTCGCTCTTCGCTGATCGCTCCTCGCTTGTTCCCCCTCCCTCCTCGATCTCCTCCTCCCGTGGCTCCTCGACCCTCTCATGGCAGCCTGTTGCGCCAGTAAGCCGAACTAGCGAGAAGCAGCTCCCTGCAGCATCAACTAGCAGCAGCGAGCGGCAGCAGCACGCAGCACGAAGCAAGCTGCAGCAGCCGCAGCACACAGCAACAGCGAGCAGCAGCAGGCAGCGGTCTGCAGCACAGCAGCAGCACCCTGCAGCCACAAGCAGCAACAACACGCACCAGTGGCAACCAATACCAACAACGGCAGCAAGCAACACAACGCAGTAACCCTGGCAAGCCTTTAAGAACCCCCCGGGGTTATCGTTAGCACCGCATCAAGATTTGATATTTTCAGGGGGCCGTTTTCGCAGAGTGATATCTTTAGCACCTCGCACACATAAATAAATAATATATATTTATATATATATATATATATATATATATATAAAAAAAATAAAATAACGTGGCGCGTCGCGCGCCGCGCGACGCACAAGAAGAAATCCGTGGGGATGTCTTTGGATATGCTGTGCATTTCCTAGGGCGTTTCACGGACCAGCAAAGGATTGCCTCGGGACTCCCAAGGAGCCGAGACTCCTAGGAGATGCTAAGCGCCCCTCGCATGTCCTTGGGAATGCTGAGGACATGCGGAGAATATGCTCAGCAAGGCTTAGCTTGGCCCCGAGCGCTCTTAAAGGCTTGATGTACCACGCGCGGAATCCGAAGGTCGAGCCGAGCCCCGCGTTACCATTTCAGCCTTTCGGCAGCAGGTCCACAATCATTTACCAGTTCGTGTAGATCTCGTGGACGGTAGTCCTCGGGTTACCCCTAGTCAGCTCCCTCTCGATCTCCTCGATACTCTCGATCCTAACCCCTCGCCTTTCGACCCTGACTCCTTGCTCGATGCTCCTGGCTCCGTCGATTCTCCCCTCGGTGTTCTCGACCCAAGCTCCTCGCTCTTCGATCCTAAGTCCTCGCTCGATGTTCCTGACTCCATCGCTTCTCCCCCATCGGTGCTCTCGATCCTAACTCTTCGCTCTTCGATGGACTCCCGTCAGCAGGCGGCGTCAGATCGTTGCAGCAGCGAGAAGCATCACCCTGCAGCATCAAGCAGCAGCAGCAGCAGCAGCAGGCATTGGGCAGCAGCGCGCGGGCAGCAGCAGCGGGAGCGCACAGCAACAATTTGCAGCAGCAGCGGCAGCAGCAACACGCAAAACACATAATTGGTCATCGATCGCTTCTCCTCCTCGATCTCATCGATGTTCTCGATCCTGACTCATTGCTCTTCGATCCTCTCCCCTCAGCATGTCTCGTCAGAACGTTGACGTAGCGAGAACCATCACCCTGCAGCATCAAGCAGAGCACCACGCACAAAGCAGAACTAGTCATCAGCAGCACCCTGCATCTACAAGCAGCAACAGCACGCAGCGGCGGTAAGCACTACCACCAGCACACAGCAGCGGCAGCAAGCAGCTGCACGCAGTAGCAGGATGCGCAGAATGCGAAATTTAAGCCCCGCGGCATCATGTCAGCCTTTCGGCAGCATGTCCACCTCCACATGCCAGTTCGTGTAGACTTCGTGGATGTAGTCCACGGGTCAGCGCTAGTCTGGACTATAATTCTGGGCGTTGCGCGTGAGAAATTTTCGAAAAGTGAAAAGGCGACCCCCGAGCGCCCGAAGCGCCCCGGCGCTCACCGACGGCTCCAGAGAACCCCGAGGTGGTCCTAAGACGGCTTCTGACACTGCTGCACCGACGCAAACACATCAGCATCGGAGGTGGCGAGAGGAAAAGGACGAAAAGCATTCAAATCATCAGCATAAATAATTTCTTGAAACAACATTCTGATGATGGCCTCCCGTGCGTCACTGAAAAATAAATTCCAAAAAGGTGGGCCGAGCACAAGGCCCTGAAAGACCATGTCGTCATTTCAATGGTTCTAGAACAGGCACCTGCGACAGTGACGCGAGCGGAACGAGCCAGCTGGCAAATACATTACATAAACGAGTCGGAAGACCGAAAGCACGCAACTTCGACACAAGACGTGCGGATTTCACTCTGTCGAAGGCGCCGGCCACATCTGAACTGAGAAGGAGCCAAGTAAGGAGAAAATAAGATATCGCATCTCTGGCGCCATGGCCTGTACGCGAATTGAAATGGCCCGAACAGCGACCGAGAGACGCGAGGGAGGAGGAAGGAAAGGAGAATACGTTCAGCACACTTAGAACAGGGAACGATGATGTAAAGTACTCTGCATTTTTTAGTCACCCCTGAACCGGCCCGAAGGTAATTTCAGAGTCCCTGCGGCGCGCGCGACAGTGCGCTGCGCCTTTTGGTGCGTACTTTGCTAGGTTGAACGCGCAGTTTTGGCGGCGCCGACCCGTGTGGGCAAGATGTCCCGCTGCAGGGGTCGTTCGGCCGTCCGCGACAGGGCGTCCAACGCCGCAAAAGAACAGGCCCTGGAACGCAATCTCTGCCATTTTTTTGCCCTGGTCTTCTGTGTTCCGGAAAAGCGATTCCGGTTGAAAAGCAATTCCGGTTCAAGAGCAATTCCGGTTGCTCTAGCATTGGGCTCACTTGCGCTTTCCGTGACTCTTGTTGGAGTAAGACTGTACGTACATCACCGTATTTCTGCAGCGGCTCTTCCTGGCGAGCCCACTGATTTATCGCAAAAGTAGGTTGATGGAAAGGGCGTTGGCAAGTCTAGTGTCCATATTCGTCAACGTAAGATTGTTATCAAGGAAATGAAAGACGCTTTGTCGAAGTCGCCTGATCAGAAATCTCCATTTAGAAAGAAGAAAAAGCTGGATAATGAGGAGTTTATGCAAGAAGACGAGATTCCACCAGGATTCAGTGCGACACCTCTCTTCCGGGGCGTCGGAGCGGGCATCTCCTCGGTGGAGCCGAGTCGAAGTGCGCCTTGCTTTCCCTGTTGAAGCGGCAGCGTCGCCAGCCCAGATGTCCGATTCTGACTTAAAGCAAGCCGAATCAACATGATGAAAAGTTGCAAAGTTGCCATTTCGGAAATCGACCCTATTCAGAACGGCATGCACGACGTTAAAGTTTGTTTGTCAGCAGTGGAAAAGCGGGGAATTCCGTCTACAGCAGCGAGTGAGAGCTCAAAACGGCAATTATCAATTTTGAATGCCCTTGACATTGCGCACCGTCGCGTTGCGTTTATCGGATTCGGAACAGACGTATTCGTGACATTCAACGTTTCGCCGAGAGTATTCCTAATGTGCCTGCTTTCGAAATTGACATTTCTATTCGGGGCCTCGGAACAATCGCAGATTGACAAAGGCGTCGTATGTGGAGTTCCGGAATCCAAAGGCTGCTTCAACATTTCTAGAGCTGGCAAAAGACAAATCTTTCAAGAACCAATCGAACGATGTAAAAATTAAGGCATCAAAAACGCAGATTAATTTACAGAGGGATTGGTGTTTCAGAAAAACATTGGAAATGATCAACTCCCATCAGAACGCGAAAAATGAGACCGTCAATGGATTTCAAGACCTGCACGATTTCAATCGGTGATAAGGTCGGTTTCATTCAACACGCTGGGGATTAGGAGGCGAATTTCGTGATCCCGTTCAGGACTTCCGTTTTCCTTAGGGATTCGGGGG